TCTTTTTCTCGCCTCCATCTCCAGTATAGAACTTACCAGCGGCCGTCTTCTTCTTCTTCGGGTTCTCCTTTCCTCTCGACTTCGCCACATTCAAATGCTCAACCCAGTCCTCCTCCTTCTCATCGAGGATATCGTACTTGGGGTACAGTTTCCGCAGCTGTGAGATGGCTCCTATTCGTGGCGGGTAGTACTCTGCGACAGAAGGGCCCTTGAGGCGCTGGTGCAGGATCCGCGACCCGAGTCGGAGGCGTTGGGGGTTGTAGGTGGTGTTGAAGATGGAGCATTGCGTCTGCCCATGTGTTGTTAGTGTCGCCAAAATTGAGAAAAGGTGATATCTAGGGAGACTTGCCCTCATGAGCGCTAATATGCGATCCCGTGCGACCGACATGTTTGCGCAATGGATGGGATTGCGGAGATGCTGCGGAGGTGAAATCGATGTTGCGGATTGCTTGGCGTGGTGACTAAGCCTGGATACTTTGGCGACGCAATGAACTTTCCCATAACCTTTCCTTTCCCCCACCTTGAATCTACACCTGCGTGTCACGTCAACAAGCCAACAGGCGTATTCTCCCGAAATGTCTCATAAGCGTGACGGCTCATTCAGTCACTACGACAACAACCGCCACAAGCACCAAAAGACATACAACTCGCAAAACCCCAACATCGCAATCAATGGCAGACCGGACTCTAACCGCAATGGAAACGGCGCTCGGTCACAGCAGGCTTCCAGCCTGAACCAGAAGTTCAAAAACAGAGACAATCCAGTCATAGACAACATCACCCGGAGGCCGGACCCCGCCAATTGCGAGCCCTGCAAGCTAGCTGCTGCGGAGATGCAGACGGGCATGATTGCGCTACTATCCAAGGTCGAGGCTGAAGAGATGACGCCAGAGGGGGACAGAGATGTACTGCACCACGCCCGTGAGCTCCGGCGCCTGCTCTCTCAACGCGCAGAGAAATCGCAAGTATCGCAGACGAAGAGGAAAACCTTGGACGAGAAGTTGCCAGTGAAGGGGAAATATGTATCTGTGCCCTCGTACCTAGCACAGAAACTGGAGAAAGCGAAGGACCTCCCGCCGCTCCCACCCATCACCGAGCCCTACCTCGAAGAAGCTGTCTTCACCCACTCGTCTGTCGCACCCTCCTCGAACGTTCAAAACGCCGACGTCATGCTTAACTACGAGCGGCTCGAATTCCTCGGCGATGCGTATATCGAGCTTATCGCCTCCCGTCTCCTCTACAGCCGATTTCCTCACACCGATGTCCCTAGGCAGTCGCATCTGCGAGAACAGCTCGTAAGGAACGAGACACTCGGACAATTCTCCTCCGCGTACGGCCTGCCCGATCGCCTGAAGCACGGGGGCCACATAACCGAATCCAAGGCATGGACAAAGGTCATCGCCGACGTATTCGAGGCCTACGTCGCCGGTATCGTACTTTCAGACTCCATCAACGGGTTCAAAACGGCAGAGGACTGGCTGACCAGGCTCTGGACGCCGCAGATGCTGGGCGCCAAGGCCGACGAAGTTGACGAGAACCCCCTGGCCAAGGACGACATTCAACGCTTAATCAAGTTCAAGGGTGTTGAAATCGACTACCGCGAAGAGCGGGACATGATCATGACTCAAGGGCAGCAGAAATACTTCATAGGACTCTATTTCACTGGATGGGGTTATGAGGGTGAGTGGTTGGGTAGTGGCGAGGGGAGGAGCAAGAAACAAGCGGCTCTCTATGCGGCCATGGATGCGCTACAGAAGAATAACAGTGTTCTCCAGGCTGCTGCGAAAAAGAAACAAGAGATGATCCAGCTGATAAGGGAGAATGAAGCCAAGGCCGCAGAAAATGAGGGTCCAGCTGAGGCTGAGGCTGAAGCTGAGATCGAGACGGAAAAAGTAGCACTCAAGAAGGAGGATTCAAAAAATACTAGCGAGACGAGCCCGGCGAAGGAAGGCGCTTCTTCGTGGTTGGAAAAGGAGAAGCGCAAGAAAGAGAAAAAGGAACGTAGGGAGAAGAAGCGTAGTAGGGATGCGTGAGATGTGGCTAACGGACAGCTCTTGAGCTTGTGCGAATCATTCGTTGGTACCTTATCACTGCCTATAGGCATCTGTGGTCGATCTCGCGGATAACATGGTTGCGTTTCTATTTAAGTGGCTCGTAAAAGCTCTTTTCAAGTTTTTCTACATGCCGCCTTCTCGGTAGGTACTTTACTTGTACTTAGAGGTAGGAGAAAGTATTTACTTCGTTTATACTGGTTTTTTGCCATTTGCTAGGTAGGTACGTGAAGTGTGAATTTCACCGTTCTAGTCCTATATCTGTCATGGCGTTAAGTTTCACTTGTAGATGTCTAGAGGATTGGGGGTTAAATAAGATTCGGCGCGATGTTGTGTAGTAAGTAGGTTATAAGATGTTTTAGATTGGAAAGTTTTGATTAAAGATAAAAGATGACCAGCACCATAGGCTAAGATAACGGGGGGAGGGAACAATTTCTATCTGTAACGCTTCTCTAAAAGTTTCTCAGTCCTTGGTCTATTTATGGAAAATCGTATTAACGGCGCGTTTGGTTTTATTTCGCGGTGGAGGGGCATGTATCGATTATGGTTTCACATCCTCTTACCTAACACCCCCTTCCCCCTTCCTCTTCCTCCCTTTTTCATAATCCCTTTGTTGTCACCGTTAGCTTCAAGACCATTGTCACTTAACCTAGGAATACACGGGTGTGCTGAATCCTTCGAAGTCTGTCTCCTCCTCGCCCTCATCGCTCTTAAAGTCTTCCCACAGTTGCTCAGGGTAATCATCTCTAAACAGGTCCTAATTAGTAAGGCACTCGAAGAGTAAGGTCTGATTTACATACCGAAGGTTTGTGAAGAATGCGGTAGTGCCTATTGATGGAGGCTTAGAATCAGCGTATATGATAACAGTATCCTTGTCCTTGTCGTTAATTTCGAATGCGCGCCTGAGTGTCTCCCCCCTCATGTATGTATTAGGGTGAACCCGACTGTACCTCTTGTCTTTGTTCGGGAGAGCTGGATTGGTCTGACAACGCGGACAGAGCAGGTTGGATTTTAGTACGATAGACTCGGCCTAGTATTGTTATTGGTACGTGGAACTACCCAACGTGGAGACATACTGACCTTGAGGGTCTATCGCAGAAGGAGTTTGCGCCGAGCATCAAGGGCTTCTGTAGATTGGGCTACGTCGTCGCCATTGTGCTCCCCGCTACTGAGCTGGATGCTCTAGCTGTAGCTAGTAACAGCTGTTGTAGAAGCATTGCGCGCACTAGAAATATATATCCTCGTTTGTATCGTTATAGTAGCACCTTACGTTATAGACAGGTGATTTTTCTAGTGTATAAAAATACATTTTAGAATGTAGATAATACATCTCATTAGTAGGACGCAAGATAGGCAGAGGATAGAAGTGCTAGAACTCCTCTTGATTTACTAGGTGTCGTAGGAGTTCACTGTGTAAGCGTAGTAGGTTCCTTTAACCTAAGAACGTTAATAGCAGAAGCATGTAAAGGGTAGTACTTTAACATAAGTTAGAACTACGGAGTAGGAACTAGATAAAGGGACACTATTAGCGTAGACTGAATTTCTAAACTATTTCCTATTTTCTCTCCTATAGATTCGAAGTATGCAGTCCTTTCCTTCACGAATTCGATCTTAGGAGCCTTTTTAGCTATTTCTACTTTGTCCTTGTTAGAATATTAAACCGCTAGGTTTTCTAGGAGAGATTTAGCAGGAGCGTGCACTTGATTGGCGATAGCAGACCTCTGCATACCTCGACTAGCTAGGAAGGACGCGGTGAATTTCAGAGCGCTGAAATCTCGAGAGAAGGCTATGCTTGTAGAATTAACATATTCTTTATCTTTAGGAAGACTGTAAACGAGGTTTCGCGTATTAATGCTAATTGCTAAGGTAACTTACGTATAATCGTCGTTACGTAACATTACGTGCCTTATTCTGTACGTAGTTACTTTACCTGTGCTATAAACGTAGACTACTACTGTATATTTTTAAACTATTAACTAACCTTCAAGTTCAGTTTTAAAGCTACGTCGAGTCGAGTAGGGAGAGATCGTCTCTTTATAACCTTTCCTTAAACCTTTGCTTAACCCCGTGTTAAGGTACAAGAGATAGGCCGTTGTGTTTTATTATCGTGAACTAGGATTCTCTTCAATGCTGCTGTTAGCTGTAGAGAGCAATTATTAAAATCGGCAAGGGATTTCTAATAAACAAATACACTATTTGCTACACCTATACTTAGAATTAGCGAAAAAGGCAATAGTCTACGTACACTTTTAAGAACTTATACTTCGCTCTTTATATACTTATAGTTAGTCCTAAGACGTATAAGTTAAAGAATCTGTTAGCATTCCTTCTATAACGTAGTTATCGTCCCTCTCTCGCCGAGTCTTAGTATCGCTGTTCTAACTCTCTAACAAAAAAAGCGCTTTAAGGTAGTCTATAGTAGGCGGCGAATAAAAGGGTTCGATAGTCTCTTATCCTTTTATAGAGAATAGAAGATAGATAATAAATCTAGTAGATTAGCATTAGTTACTCTCTTTAATACTTATTAAAGTATTTATTAACTCTCTTCTATAGTTGCAGCATCTGTAATATGCTCTCCTTCTTATAGGCCTTTATAGTATTGCTAATAGAGACTCTACTTGATTACGTAGCTGTAACAGGAATAAGACTAAAGTAGAAATCCCTGTCGTTATAGCGAAAGGAGGGGGAGGAAACTAGCTGTACCTCCTCTTATAATTATTAGCTAATAGTACAGGTTAAGAAAAATATAGAAATCTATTTCTATCCTAGGTATTACAGGCTACACAAATTGCTACATTACGCTAGACCTTGCTCGGATACTATCCGTACCCCGCACCTCCCTCGTTCCTACCCCTCAGAACTCTGAAAAAAGCCGCCCCATTTCTCAAGTCTCCTAGCAACATGACTGTCTTTATGTATTTTCTCAAGCACGAAATTTTTATCCCTTCAGCATCGATAGTTTAGTGGTAGAATTGAAGCTTCCCACCAATACGCTGCTTCAGGCGCGGGTTCGATTCCCGCTCGATGCAACACAGCCTTCTTTTTGCATCTACAAGAAACGTTTTGGGGGTGGAGGAATGTTTGGTTGTGAAATAATGGGCGGTGTTTTTTTTTTGCTGGAGGTTTTCAAGGGTCCAGCGCGTACCAACCAACTACTAAGTGAATAAGCTATCTATTATCTAAATTACGAATCTCCGTTGATCGTGTGAGATGGGTACGCTTTCATTTTGCTAGAATATTAAAGATTTGGCGTATACCAGGGAGGGGGCGGGGGAGACGGGAGAAAGACTCCTTATCATGTGAATCGTTCATTTCTTCTCGCACAGACCTATTGTTTGTTTCCCTAGTCTTAGCAAAGACGAAATATCTATCAGAGTTACATGTATACAAGGAATAAAACATGGATAGAATATCGCATGGAACGGGACATGAACTAGTGCTGTAGAAATTTTCATTTACATGCGAAGAAAAACTTTCCATGTTCACAATCACAATGAATTTACGTAGGAAGGTTCTATCTTTTTTTCCATGGGTAGTAGAGAGTAGGTAAGAAGTAAATTTTTTTTATTTCACTTATATCTTGGAAATCTGCTGCATGATAGTAGGTAGGGTAGGATGCTGAGCTCGCTTAGAGACCTATCACGTGACCTCTTTTGAAATATATACACGTGCATATGAGTGGTCTACTTCGAATGCAGGCCTATAGTTCCTTAGGTCCTGGTTGAATGGAAAAATTCAGTTGAGTTTGATTATGAAAAGGGCTTTATTAGACTGCATGGGCGGTCTCGAATTCATGTACATTATCCTTGTAAAGTAAAGTAATGGTGTCAAGTGAAGTGTACATCTAGTATCAGTAAATATATCTTCAACGAAACGAAATCTAGAGAAACAAGACATGGACATTTGTAAACAAAAGCCGAAGCCATTTTCTTATCATATTGTCGTCAAGTACGAGAGAGGGAACGAGCCCATCCAAACGATGCATACCCACCCAACGCCGACCAATGCAACCAAAGGCGGAAGACCTAGCAGTCTACATACCCCCACCTTGTCCTTTTATATCTAGAAACTACTCATAGATCGATCGCTCCTTCTTCGCCCTCCTCTTATTCGCCTTGAAGTGCTTCTTCCCACCCATGCGCAACTCTCTCGGATCCACATCCTTCTCTAGCGCCGCAATGGCCTTGAGTTTCCGTCCACTCAACTCCTTGCCCTGCTCACTATACTGGTAGTGGAACGGCCTCGCTACGTGGCCCTGGCCCTGTCCGGGGCCAAAGAACCTCTTATCCAAACCCTTTGACTTCGCGCCCTGGACGGGTATGGGCACCATATCGGGATCTACGTCCATGAGAGAAGCGTCTTCGGTGCCGGCAACGGAGGCGGAACGGGCCTGAGACGCCAGGTGTGCACGACGCTTTGCAGGGAGGTGGTTGATGTCGTAGAGTTCGCGGTTGAAGTGCTTTGGGTCGATTGGTGGATCCGAGGGCGGTGGGTGGCAGTATAAGAGTTTGCCCTTTACATAGTCCTTTAGGATATACCTTGCTGCTCGGGACTCGTCAGGCTGTCCAAGACCCTGCGTTTGAAATCCTCTGGCCGAGGCATACGTGCGGAGAACCTCCTCGGAAGTCGGAATACCGGTGCCACCCTCCTCGAGCGGGCGCATGTCAATCTTCATGCCATAGATGGTTTCCAGAAATGCTTTCGGAATTCGCTGTGCAACGAGACCTCCGGGACCGGTGTACTCGCGCAATTGGTCGATGGGAAGAATACCATTGCAAACGAGTTCTGCCTTGGTACTTGCAAAATTGGGAAACACGAGACCAGGGCAATCGCATAGCATGACCTGGTCGCTGAGGTGTATGGTCTGGAAATGCTTCGTCTTGCCGGGTGTTGCGGAAACGGACACCTTCTTTGCGCCGACGAGAGCGTTGATTGTGGAAGATTTACCAACGTTGGGATATCCTACGAGACCGATCTGTGTCTTTCGTTGTTCACCGTCGGCTCCAGAATCGACATCGGGTGCATGCTGGAGGAAAAGGGCCTCTAGATCATCTGTGGTGATGATTCGTGTTCGCTCCTCTTCCTCTGTGAGTGGAACGCCTTCTCCCGGCGCGTCGACTGTCTCCTCATCCACCCACTCTTCCTTCTCCTCTTGCTTGTCCTGAAGATCAATCTTCTTCGCTTCCTTTGCGAGGTCGTCTGCTTCAGCATCGATCTCTTCTTCCACGTCGTCTTCATCAACATAGTCATCCGAATCTTCTGAATCGCTCTCTTCTTCCAGTGCCCTAGCCTCGTTCATCTCCTTTGCCAGTTCGGCCGAAAAGAACTTGTAGTTGATGCCAGCCTGAGAGAAGTAGTCTGCCCACGCTTGTCGCTGCTCGAGTGTCATCATGTCGGCTTTGTTAACGAGGAGCAAATTGTTCTTCTTCGGGTCGACCTCTTTCACGTACGCCTCTAGATCGTCGGAACGGAACAAAAGCGGGTTTCGCGCATCTACAATTTGCACAACCAGGTCTGACCTCTCGATGACTCGCCACAACTGTCGCCACACCTCGAGATTTCGCTCAAAGGGCGTCATGAGCAGGTCGTGATTCTCTTCCAGCTCGGCCAAACCCCTCCTCCACTGCATGAGCGACTCTCGCTCGCGCGTATCTAGCTGCTGCGGTGTAGTGTTCGCGTCCCACGGCGGACGCCTCGGCACAGTCAGGCGCTGCTTGTTCTCTCGGTGTTTGCGCACAGCGGCGCGCTCCTCATCTGCCGACAGTAGATACGGATTCTTCTGGTCTCTGTGGATGATCTTGACATTGTTCATCTTCTCCGCCGTAAAGTCGGTTCCAGCGAGTTCGGCAGTAGACAGGAAATCGTCAAGAGCGCCCTGCTCCGTCACGGAGCGCATCTTCATATATGACGCCTCTTGTTTCGTGTTTGTGATGTACTACACTTGTCAGAACATGGTAGTTTTCGTTCGTGTTCTGCAACACATACCTTCTCTCCATTCTGACCCGTCCTCTGAATACCGCCTTCGAAGTTGCCCCGCCTCATGTCAGAGCCCTTGCCCTTGCCGAACCTGTCGTTCATCAGGCTGTTGCCCAGCCCGACGGCCTTTTTAGACTTTGCGAGAACCATGTTTGCGGTTGTCGCCGTGCCTGTTAATTTTGGAGGTGCAAGAGTCACGTAGAGGTTGGGCGTGGAAAAGTAGAGCCTTCCACGGCTGCCCCACGTCATGCCCCTCGCTTAAAAATCTAGGGAAATCGCGACCGACTCGGCCCATCGAACTTTTTGTCAGCGCGGCGCATTCTTCCTTCCATAACCCACAACTATACTTTACAATAGAAGCCAGTCGCAACCGCCAAAATGCCGCGCCGAAAGATTTTGTATGTCCTATCATTGAACCTTGAATGTGGAGGACCCCGCTAATGCCCCTCCAGCGACAAGAAGACGGCCATCAACTACAAACTCGTCCACCGCGCCCAGAATGACCCTCGAATCCACGACCCAGATGCCTCTGACATGGTCTTCACCGAGGTCAACACGCCTAATGCGCGTGAAACCTCGGAACCCGCCGGCAGCTCGCGAGCGTCGCAATACTCGTCCGCATCCAAGTACTCTTCGGCAACAGGACGGAGCCAGATCAAGTCGCGAGGGGATCTAGAGAGTGAGTTCGGGCTCAGTGCCAGGAATAACGAGGGCGAGGCTGCGAACCATGGCGTCTTCTACGACGACTCCGAGTACGACTATATGCAGCACATGCGGGACTTGGGCGCCAATGGAGGGGCATACTTTGTAGAGGCCCCTGCCGAGAAGAAAAAAGGCAAAAACAAGATGGACCTGGCCGATGCTCTGCGGGCGGCCTCGTTGGATGATAGGCAGAGCGAGGCTGGCATTAGTGTGAGCAGCAGCGTCAGTCGAGCAGCGAGCGATGTCTTCGGTGACGATCTAGCCGCCTCCGAGTTTGTGCGGAAGAGGACATATCAGGACCAGCAGAATATCCCAGATGCGATTGCTGGATTCCAACCAGATATGGATCATAGGCTGAGAGAAGTGTTGGAGGCCTTGGAAGACGAGGCATACGTAGAAGACGAGGAAGACTTCTTCGCAGAACTCACAGAAGATCGCGCAGAACTGAACCAGAGAGAGTTTGAAGCGACAGACTTCGATGACGGTGGTATGATGGATCGATTCCTAGGCGAAGAAGATGCAGGCTGGGAAACAGACGATACGATCAAGGCATCGTCGCCCAAGCAGAAAAAGTCCACCGAGCCCACTGATGCAGACGAGCTCCCCTCTCCAGACAACGTGCCGGCACCCGCAAAAGCAGACCACATGGCCTTTATGGAGGAATTCAAGAAGTTCAAGACTGACGCGAAGGCTGTAAAAGCGCCTAAAGCTGCCGCCCCCTCAGACATGCAGTCTTCTGTCCTCACCGGTGCTTCCGCTCTCACCGCAGGCGGTCGGAAGAAGAAGCGTAAAGGCGCGATGACTAACCCTTCCACTTACAGTATGACCTCCTCGGCACTCCACCGCACCGAGGGTCTCACACTGCTCGATCAGCGCTTCGACAAGATCGAGGAAGAGTATGCCGGCGAGGATTTCCCCGATGATGCTTCCATGGTGTCGGGGATGAGCAAGATGTCTGGCTTCAGTAAGATGTCGGGCATGAGTGGGATGTCGAACATGAGCGAGGCGCCGCAGCTCCGGTCGGATTTCGACAGCATCATGGACGATTTTCTGGGCAGTCACTCCATGGCTGGAAACAGCAAGACGCGTGTCAGGAAGGGGAAGCCGCAGAGCGGGATTGACCAGCTGGACGATGTGCGGAAGGGTCTGGGCCCTGCAAGGTTCTACCCTCCGAAGACACGGAAGGCGTAGAAGACTAGATTTTTGAAGTGTGCTCACGATTCATGAGGCGTTTTGGGGATAATGGGGATTAAAACAGATGATATACCCGGCATGGAAGATGTTGACGTCTATAAGGTAGAGCTGAATACAATCGCATGGGTACAATTGCGTGTGGATTCCGTGTCTTTCT